TAACCACACCACACTTTTGTTCTTGCTCAAGGTCTTCTTTTTGAAGAGGATAAACAGAAGCACCAGTGCCCATGATCACTACATACAAGCATGCTGGATTACATAATTCTGTTATCATTAGGACAGAGAGTGATAAAACAGACCTCATAATAGTACATCTTGCTCTGACTACTCTAAGAAGATGTTAGATGAAGGAAGCGTGACCAGCACACCAACATGACGTGCGGGACAAACAACTGGAGCTTTCTGGAACATTCAGCAAAACCCTGCAGCCTAACAGGACATGGAGTTGGACTTGGACAACACAAAGCCATCTGAAAAATAAACCAGGTCACTGTTTATAAACACACACAATTGATGCCACTTCGGACCAGAAACGAAGCCACATGCAAAGCCCCTTGCAGTAAGCAAACAAGGGTAGGACAGTTTATTTGAATTCCATGGCAGTCATCTTCTGCATGCTTTTTATCCTTTCCAGGGACAAGGGTCCCTGCCCACAGAGCCTATTCACTGCGAGACACAAAAGAACACATGCGGAGAGACAGAGAGGGCTGCTGGAAAAATCCACTCAAGTGAAGAATTCAAATCAGTTTCCTGAGAACATGGAAGGCGGTGAAGTATCCACAATGTCATCCATTAGCAGGACGTTGCTGCTTGATGTGTATCCAGACATCAATTGTCAGGGCAAGTTTATCTAAGCCTTTAGGTCATCTTCATGGCAGGTTAATGTGTTTAATGGGTCCAGTGGCGGAAGGCGGCAAAGAGGAGGGCTGTGACACGCTAAGGAAACTAAGGAGCATAGCAGCAAATCACTTAAAGCAGCATTACGCTGCTCCCCCAACAGCTGCAGAGTGTATTGCACCACTGTCGTAAATGCAAATTGCACTGTGAGCCCCTTCATGTACATGTGCATTTGTCGATGAGCTGAATGACTTTGTATGTCACACAGGCATATGGATGTTACAGATTACACTCATGATTTCAGTTGTTTCTATGTGTAAATAACAAAAATCGCAAGTGTAATCTGTAGCGTACAGATGCCTGCATGACAAACATGCAGTCAAAGTGAAGCCAGATTTAAGGGTACAGCCTACGTCGCAATCTTTCATTAATAACATTGGCAGGGATGCAATTTACACTCTGATATCGGATTTTCGTTGTTTTTCCATTAGCCAAGGACAATGTCTTCTTCGGTCTCTTCGCAGCCTCTGCCTTGATGTCCATGCTGGCAATACCTAGCTACATCTTATAGCGAACTGAAGAGCCCGAGTTGTTTGTGCCGTAAAGCGTTACGTGGTAGGCAGAGGTTTTGTGCCCACTCCTCTAAAGTTACGTAGCGCTATAGCAGGCATTACGGGCCCAGAGTGGCAAAGGCAGAGATGTCATTCTCCCTATTATAAGTCAGCGTACCATCAAAATGATTTTGAAGCTGTTATTTTAAGGTAAAATTGTTAGATACTAAAACTAGCCTTTAATCTATTATTTGTTATGTGATATACTGTAGTGTAGTGTAGCACTGCAGTCCTTTGTATTGTTTTCGTCCATCAGTGTTCTATCATATGGTGCATTACACGAAAACATCATACAACCTTTGGGAACCCTTACAGTGCTCAACAAAGCTCTGACTGCAGATGATGGTCAAATTTGTGTTTGTTATAGGAATAATGCAGCAAAAAAATTGCACATCCCAGTTCAATTCACTCCACAGCACTTACAATGTTTTAAACTTCCACCTTCAAGATACATCATCAGCAAGGGGTTTCCTAGTCTTTAAACCAGCAAATCCTGCTTTAGCAATTACTGAGGCATCGCTGTAAGAGGCATCTTCACAAGTAAATATGTTTGTAACAGATGTAGCCATACTTAAACTTTTCATTTTGGCTGGAGTGTAAATAATATTAGAAATGTCTCTCTGCACACCATAAGACTTCAATATATCTTTCATACAGACGGTTTGACTAAAATATTTTTTTTCCGAGCCGATAAACCACCAGAACAGTATGAACCTTTCTGTCCTACGTGAATATGTTAAATTTGAGACCTGTTGCTCTCACTTGCCTCAGTGAGTTTGTGTTCATGCGGAGAGACTCCATAGCAAAGATCTGGCTTCAAATGCCTATTTTTCCTTTGAGTTATAGTTCCCCATGGTGAACAGCTGTGACCAACTGGTTTCCACATCTTTGTGGCATAATTCTTGGATACAACAAAGTGACTAAATCTAGACCTGTGTAAAGGCTTATAGAGATGCCATTACCTAATTAGACTAGGCTGCGTCTATCCATATATATCTGACAAGACACCACAACAAAGAGACCTTGAAGGAAATGTGAATAATCTAAGACGATGTCAGTGATCCGTAGTAGAAGCTGCTCTTTTCAGATGCCTCCTTAAGCAGCTTAGTGGGCAATAAGTGTTTGAGGTGATATCAGGCACAGGTTTCAAATCAGCTCATGGAGAGAAAACCCATTACATCATTAGATCAACCCTGGATTAGAGGGACTGGTCATCAAGGCCTGGGCGACTCTCAAACTCAGCGGGCGGGGAAGGAAATGATCCGCTAACGAGCTTCATGTCTCCCGTCTGGCCTCTGTACTTAGTACAGAGTGCGTTTACAGCCAGGCAGCAAAAGTAAGTGCTGATGAATGCTGGTTTCCCACCAACAGTTTTCAAGATGAGCTTTCAACAATTGGTTTCCCAGATTAAAATTACTGTCGATGGGATTCTCTTCTGAAAAATGATTACATCTAAACGCTTACTCAATGTCCTGAAAACTAATGGCCCAAACATTACCCTGTCTAAAAGCTTCCAGTGATTTGTACAAGTAGACGAAAGATGTAACACAACCCTGTGAAGATGGAGACCTGTAAATCATTCATGCTTAGGTACAGTGAGGCTACAGACTAAGCAAGGGAAGAAAAACCCAACCCATTGTGCTTCAAGCATGAAAAACAAATGGGTAAGTGATATCTCCTCCATTCTTATCCTTTCTTATTGTCCACATTCCAACATGCTCCAACTACTGCTCCTGGTACAGTTCCTGTATTTCTCATGCTAGCCATTATCCGAGTGTAAGCACCAGACTTGGAAATCAGAACGGCCGTGTTTGCAGTGGCTCTGAAGGTAACAGGGGAAACAAACGTCAAAGACAATACCATCATCTCAGCAGTGGCAGGGGAACAGCAGGCCTCCTGGAGACGACCCAGGCGGTTTCGGGACAGACTAAACCTTCGGCCTTTACCGTAAAAGCTGACAAAACACTGGAACTGAACTCAGGGGGGCTGTAAAGCATCCCTGAGCAGCGTTTAAAGACAGCATGGGCAGAAAACCTGCACATAGCTGAACAAAGCAGAGGAATGACTCAATCCAGCAAGGCCTTGGAGAAATAGCCACAGGCAAGAAAATAAGTGTGGCCTAACAATGTCCACACAGTGGGTAATGAGAATAAAAACTTGGAAGAAATCATGCCTTCAACAACTAGGAAAAGGAAGAGGAAATGTATATAATACACATGTATAAAGATGGGGAGGACAAGCAGGAAAAGATGGCATTACTTACAACCACCTTCTAAAACAGCCTTCCATTTTCTCAAGACAGCTGGCTAAGGCAGCCCTGGCAGTGTTGCAGGGACAGATCAGGGACAGATGAGTGAAAATCAAAAGGGCTTTCTGGCACCTCAAGGCTCTCTCTCTCAGCCCTTCAGGCCCATCATGTGCTATTCCTGAAGAGGAGAAAGGCAAGCCTCCTCTGCCAAAAGAAACTAGTTTGTAATGACAGAATTGTGGATCGCACAAGTTTTATTTACAGACAGCCATAATTGAAACCGGAGCTTGTCTCCTGCTTTGAGTTCAGTAGCTTTAATGTTCAGGACGATATATGAGGGGAGGCGAAAGGATGTCTAAAACATCTCTCATTCACCTCATCACTCACTTAACAGTACAAAACATGACCTAAAACTGATGTATGGCAGCTGCCATTCAACTATTTTCTGTCTGTTTGAGTTTGGGCTGGGTAATACAGCAAAAATAAAATAAAAATCCCAGAAAACATTTTAATCAATGTTTATTCAGTGTTTCATATACTGTATCTCACTACATGTAATTAGGCAGGGTTAATTATCTTCTTTTTGAGTCCTAGCTTCATCAGGATTCAAACGCACATCTTGACAACAGGGCAAAATAGTCAAATTTTGGAAGCCTCTTCAAAACTTCTTTAATGCCCATCATTGTCTCAGCTTTAAAACGTCAATCTACAGAAGTACATGGACAGCCTAAAGAGAGTACACCAAGATGACCACAGGTATCGTATTTTGTAAACTGCACTCTGACTGGCCATCAACAATGACATATGCAATTCCACGCACTCAAGTGTTTTTGGAAGCAAACTTTTTCAAGCAGTTTCCTGAACTGCATTACCATGTGACGTTAAAAGCATCCTGCCTTTAGTCTTTGTATACAGGGGAGCCCAATCCTGGTCCTGGAGATCTACCACACCCCATGGAGTTCAGATCCAACACACCAGGTTGTAATATTCAGATTGCCCTGAAGGCCTTCGTTACCTGAATATGGTGCGTTAGATTAGGGTTGGCACTAAACTCTAAAGGGTAGTAGATCTCCAGGACCAGGAATGGGCATCCCTGTTTGTATATTTGCTGCCATATCCCACTTTGTTTTCCACTTTCTGTTTTTGTTGTAGAACCATCTTGACCACTCCCTGCCCCAACATGTCACAGAAAAACAATGGCCCTTTCCTATACTCGGCCACGCTGAGCAACAAAACTCACCAGACTCTCTGACGACAGGCAAACGTCTGGCTTGCAAGACTATGCTTGACATAAGATATCAATATCAGTCTTGTACTGTCCAGTCTTAGATCAAGTGAAACTCCAACCAGATTTCTTAACGAAATGAGAGCCAGTAGCTCCCATTCATCACTACAGAAGTGATGGCAGTTGTAACCAAAGCTATGAAAGGAGTACCCTGAGAGGAGCTGGCCGCTCTTACCTGGGTGACTGTGGGAACTCATTTCTGCTGCTTTTCTCTCTCTCAGGCCACTGTGTGAGAAAAGAGGAGAGGTAGAGGAGGGGTCTGGAGGGGAAGTGCTTGTGTCCAGGCAGATGAGGGCGTGGAGGGAACCTCACTGCTCCCTGAACGGGAAGAACACCATCCACTGGTCACTGGTCCCACTGGACGAGTGAGGGAAAGGGGTGGAGATACAGATGTCTCAAATGTCCATAGCTTGAGGTTGAGGGCTAATCCAGTCTTGCAGATCTGTCTGGTTGTCTTCACTCTCTAGGAAACTGGGACACACAAGATGTACAGAAACACACAGCAAAGTCAATAATAAGAATGTCAATCAGCAGCTATTGTTTTCTTCCATCTAGTGTCAGTACTGCCTATTTTTGTAATGCCTTACTACACAGACATGTTTAAACATGTAGTTGGCATTACTAAATTTGAAAGAGTTTCTATTGACCTAAGGAACATTCCAGCCTAAGACTACCCTTTAACATGTTATTTGTCATGTTATGTAATACTCTGTAGTGCATCACTGCATCCCTCAGTCTTAATGGTTTAACATAATGTATCCTTTTGTGTTTTCATCTGTTACTGCTCTCTCACTACAATATCCAGGATGCACTATGCAAATCCGTCATACAACCACTGGTAATCTGCTCTATGGTGATAAAGAAATGACTTATAGCATAGCAGTTGTAAAGGCTAACAGATGTGATATTCAGCTTCCTAGCAGAACCGGTTTCCTTCTGCATTAGCAAGCTAGCAGAAAAAAAAAAAACAAAACAAAAACAAACAGTCCATTCTCATGTATCTATTCTAAAGCACTTCTAGTTTTTCCCACCTTCAGAACGCATCATCAGAGGCGGGATTTTCCTAGTCTTTAATCTGGAAAATATTGCTCTAGGTGCTATCATGGCACCACTATAGTAGGTGAGTAGGCAGGTTTACAAAAGATGTAGCAATTGCTAAATCTTCGATTCTGACCAGAGTGTCCCTTTAAATTCATTAACTAAAGTTTGGTTTTGTGTTCAAAAAAGCTAGATTTGTGGTGAAAAGAGTATGTAGGAGTGTTGAAATGTCCTCATTTCTATAAAACTCATGCTTTATATCAGCATGAGGACATATGGTCCTCATAAAGGGCTGAACGCAAACGCAATGGTAGAAACAGCTAAAAACAATCGTCATCCATATAGCGATTACACTGCTCCATGTTCTAACTGCAATGCTGAGCAATAAATGAAAAACATATTGGTCAACCATCGATGTGACATTTTTAAATACTGGTCTGCATTAATATGAGCGCAGCTGTTGGTTGCATCATGTGAACGCTTTCATTAAAACAGCCAGAAAACCATTGAGAAACTCACTGGTTGGGATGCTCACATGACATCATAAAGTGGTTATTTGCATGTTTTAGCCTCATGATACAAGTATACAATTAACAAACAATACACTGTGCAGCCCACATGTGCACTTGAGCCGAACAAGGCCAGAAGGATGCGTGACACATTTTGAAAACAGAACATGACAGAGTAAGAATCAGCCACCCTCAGAAATCTGACGCTGTTGCCGTTCTCCCTACCCCACACTGTTTCTCTGACAGGATAAGCCAAACCCATAGGAAAGGTACATGACAGACAGATGTCAAATGTATGTCCCCCCCCCTGTGTGCCTTTGCTCAAGCATGCATTCTGCCGGAGTGTACTAGGCACAATGGAGCCTGTTGGACAGCATAACAACCATCTTTTTACCCAGAGCAGCACACACAGCAGCACACAGCAGCCAGGCAGGGCTTAGCCATGTTACATAACACCAAATATCTCCTGCCTGGGGAAAGGGAGGGGTCTGTTGTAAGGCAGCACTCACAGGGATATTCCCCCACGCTTAAAAGCTTAGCCTTACTTCTGATAAAGCAACGGAAAAGGGGAGTGCCTCTAACAACAGTCCAACGTGAGTGAATAAAGCTGCGTAGCAACACGAGGCTAAACAGTCAGACTGATGACTCCTCAGCTGACACTTTAGGCCTCAGCAGTGAGAGTCAAGACCACTGTGTAACCAAATTACACGCTTTAGCAACCGCATGTGTCCAAGTAACAGGTACCGCAGGTAAGCAAATGACGTACCAGCAGTACATCACTGCTTCTGTGAGATGATAAGACATCATCCATTTGGTCATCACCTCCATCAGTGCATAGGTTACTCTAAATACACATACTTGTTATACTCACTGCTGCAGGCCTACAGGCTGTCCGACAGCCAGACTTTCGGAAAGATTCCAAATAATAAGACCACTGTCAGGAGATGGAGTCTGACTCTGGTAATGGAAAAGGCTTTAACATAATGAAAGACTGGACTAAATGTGATCAAGTACAGCAGTGTGCAAAGGTCAGAGGCCACCAATTCATTTATTAATTTCCAGACAAATCTGAGATAGCCAGGATATTCAGGAGAGATTCTGAGGAGACCAGATAAAAAATAAACCACTTGCGCATGGAAAAGTCAAAGGAAGAAAAGTGAAAAGGATTTTCCAAAAATGGAGCTGAAATATTATTTAAAGATATAGAGAAAATGGGACCCCTAACAACCATGCAAGACCTGGGGGGTTTTCCACAAAGCAGGATTTCTCAGTTTAGCTAGATAACTTGAGCCCAAAGTCAAGCCCGTCCAATTGGAAAAGAGCTGAGGGACATTCCCAATTGGACAGTCCTCATCTTTGGGCTTAAGTTATCCTGCTAACTGAGAAACCCTGCTTTGTGAAACACAGTCACCATCAGATAAACAGTACCTAAAGCTTTCATCTTTCAGAGAGAGGAGAAATTCAATTTCCACTCTTGTTTCAGATCTGAAAAAAATCCTCAAGTGTTTAAAAAGATATTATATTATAAATATTAATAAATTATATCCTCTCAGTGAAGATTAAGGATTAATCTTAAGGTAGGGGAAGGTGATGCAATATTGTTGGTTAATATTATCTTTCCCGCTTGCTGAATCATGAGGTAATCAAATACATGATGCATCAAGCTTAATTTGACTAGGGACACGAACTAACAAGCTAAAACAGGCCGGTTTTGATTTCAGGTCAACTTTAAATTCTCTTACAGCTCTCTTTTAATAGTAAAAAACAGACTGATTGACACACCCCACATTTACATGTATTGTTTTGTGTTAAGTCTTTTTGAAGGCTTTCTAGTTCACATGTTTCCACATTAGGTTCTCTAAAAGGCTGTTTAATTTAGTCTTTTTTGTTATTCAGTCTTTTTTTCTGATTAGTATAGTATTGAATCAGTATAGTACTCAATTACTAATGCAATTTACAGTGAGAGCCCTAATTATTCCAGCTAAAATATATGAAACATCCTACATTTGTCATAAAAACACCTTATATTCATTAAAGTAACCTTAACTTTAATCACAGTCTAAAAATGTCTTCATACTTCATATACATTGTCCAGACCTCAGCAGTGAGAATTTAATTGTATTACAGGTTACAAGGTCCTTGAGAGAATGAATTCAACCTTGTATAGCGCGTATAGCTTGTCTTACTTCATCAAACACTTATTAAAGACTCATTCAACACTGAAGCCTCTCCATGTGTGTACACTGGGAGGAAGCAATCATCCACTCTAATGAAAGAAAACATCCCTCCTCCTCTTCCTCCACATCCCACCAACACGGAACACACAAACTCAGACAGACACACACACAAACACACACTGCTATTTGTGTGAGCTGGTCACATTTATCACACTGACAAAACATTTGAAGTGATTTGCTGCTGAATGTAAAAATATAAGTGATTATCCCCTTCAGCTATTTCTGTGCAAGTTCAAGTGAAGTTAGTCAGAGAAGTTGGTGTGAGTTTAATCAACCCGAAAGGTGCTGAGGAGCACTCCGAACGCTCAAGGGACAGCGAGTTGCATCATCAGACTGAGCGAGAAGACAGCAGTAATGCAGGATTAAGCTGCTGGGTTTGGAGAGAAGCGTCTCTGGCAGACTGCGAAGCGAATGAACAGCCTTTAAGAGACGACTCCGTTTCCAGCTCCGTCTCGGAGTGCGTCTGGCTCTCGGCTGGGGCCAGGTGGCGTGGATTAGATGTGCTGGAGTCAGCTTAGCCCCGCAGCATTCGCACTTGCCATCAACACAACAAACCACCGATGGTGATGTCTCCACCATCCCATCTCAAAGAAGACCACTCCAAAACTCCTCCAAATGAAGGTGATCTGCCAAGATATGCTTGGTGTCCAAATACAGACGTGTGCAAAAGTTTGAACATCCCCGATCAAATTACAAGTTTCGTTAATTTTATAAATGAAATCAGGGAAACACATCCTCCACAAACAGCAACCTTCAACGTGGCATTCTACAAGTTTTAGTGCACAGCTTCAATTTATTTAATGCAGCTGAAATGCTGGGGGGAAAAAACATGCAACATATAAAATGTGCCAGAACTTTTGCACAGGCCACATTTTATGTTTTATTTCTTTCCACTATCTTAAATTCAGAAAATAAACAGTAATTGTGCATTAAACTGTGCACAAGTGTGTTTCTCTGTAGAGGATGTATCAACTTATTTCCACCAAACATGTTATTTGACAGAGGGTGCACAAAGTTTTACATACAACTGTACATGACATACTGCTGTTTTTCTGTACTTCTGCTTGAATTTTGTCTGGGAATTGTGGAACGATGCCAATATGACGCTGAAGAAGATACATAAATATTTCTAAAAAAAATGCAGAAAATGGGACTACATCCACCTGGACTAGCATTACAGACAAATATAATATTTATTTCTAAAGGGCTGCAAATGCAGCAACGAATAAAAATGTCATTATTTTTGCACTGTAGTTCAGCACCACCTAAACATTCTGCTCTACCAAAGTACAATACATCCACCATCAATTGTCAGCTGGAAGTATCAGTCAAAAAACACTCAATTATACCAAAAAAGACACAAAAAAGGAAAAATTAAAATTGATTTGCCTTAGTCTTCTACAAAACTTGTTTTTGACTTTTTGTGTTGATTATGATTGCACCAGTCATTTAGTCTTTGAACACCAAAAAAATATGGATATTAAAAATTAATGTTGGCATTTCTCTTTTTTTCTGTATTGAAAATCTACCGGACAATATGCAAAAACTACAATACATATTACCTCAAGAAATTAGGGCCTCATTACAGCCCTAAATGTCAAACAGGGTCAGAAATCACATAAGCAAGTCTAATTGAGATTACATGGTCGAGGAAAGCCATTGATGATTTAGGCTATGAACTCTGCAC